CAATAAGCAGAATGGAGGCGGCTGCTCAGCCAGGTTCACAGCCGACCTCCTCCAAAAGCAGCTGAAGGCGGCTGCTCGACCAGCCTTGTAGCCAAGTCGAGAGGGGGCGAGAGTCCCCTCACCAAGGCCTATGTTGTCTCTGCAGGGATGCCCACCGAGTTAGGAGGCTGTCAGTAACCCTCTAATCTGCCAGCTCAAGGGGATGTTAGCTCTCAGTATCCTGCCAGCAAGTATTATCTTGTGAGTAATAATTATCCACACTTTGTTTCTTGTATGTGTTTTGACCTGAATAAACGCCACCTCGTTTTGTGGGATTATTGCCAAATGCCAAGTCCATCCGTACCATAACTGGCAATGAGGATGGGATTTGGCAATTGAAACAGTTGAACTCACTAGTGGAGCGCACAGCTAGGTGAGGTCATGTCACTGGATAGAAATCGTGTCCGTGATATTTGTATCTGTAGCCTGTACTGTGTAACAATCACAAGAATTCATTGTTCTCAGTACCGTGCCTTGATGGCTTTTGTCATTGGGATTGTTGGCAAAGGCGTGTTGATAGGAACAGCAGTCGTCCGTGTGGGCCGATACAAGCCCTGTTGTGACATGTGGTGGTTCTTTCTCGGGAGAGGTGCAGGCAGCACTGGCAACCGCAGGGAGGCTGCGCCTCCAAGGGAGCGCCCTGAATGGGGGCCAGAACCATGGAATACTCTGTGGGACCAATGGGAAACCTGCACCGGGTATCTCCAGAACCACAGACACAGAAGGACCCCATGGCAGTGTTACAGTATTGGGGTCGGTTTGTAGAGACTGACTGTACTAAGAACTCGGTCCAGCTAGAACATGCCGGCTGGATGGGAGGTGCTCTGCTGTGTGCATGTAAGATTCTAGCGGGGCAGCTAAAGGAGGAACAGGAGCTCTTGGAGAACTCCTCCAAGAGCAGTTACAGGCGGTCCGAGCAGAGTGCAGGCGGCCCAGTGCAGAGGCAGGCTCTGCTGGAGATGAATGACCAGAAGGAGCTCCTGGAGGAGAAATGTGCTAAGTTGGCAACACAGTATGCAATACGAGCGGTAAAGAATAGGAGAGGCAGAAAACCAGGGCAAAAGGGGAGCTGGGCACAGACTATTATCACCGATCCTGACTGGGACCTGGAAACTTGGAATGGGGATATTTGGGAATCAGACAAGGAAGTCCCCACACAGGAGAACAAGGGTCAATCGCGAGACAAACCAAAAAGGTCAGCTGCCCTAGTACTACAAAGGAAAGCTGTGCTGCCAGGGCCAGAACAAGTGGTGCAACAGGATGAACTAACTGATTTTACCTCCGAAGATATTAAAAATCTGTTGAGCAAATACAAACAACAACCCGGGGAAAAGCCCCAGTCCTGGTTAGTCCAGTTAATGGAGGAGGAAGCAGACTCGGTGATGCTTGATAAGACGGATGCCACAAAATTTGGTGATTAACTAATGCCGTGGATGTACGGTCTGCATTACGAAGAGTGGACGGAAGCGGCTAGAGTCTTATTACCGTGGTAGCCAAGGGTCTCACTAACCGCCACACCAATGATAGTGACTGGCCCCCATCCAGCTTCTCCTGGGTAACTATAAGATGACAAGCATGCCAAATGCTTAAGGCAGAGGCCATGAAGACTGCTGTAGAATTGGGAAGTCGGGAGCTTTATTCACAACAGCCGTTGTTACCTGGGATGCAAAACAGATTGCTAGAAGGGTGTCCAGGGCTGTGGCACCCTTATCTAATCCCTGTATTAATGACAGAGCAAGGGAAGCTTATTGAGAATGTCACAGAGAAATTACAGCAAATGGGGGACTTACTGGGATTGGAGTTAGACCAACCTAAACCCAACTCGCCAAACAGGCAAAAAGGAAGGGAAAATGCTGCAGGGCCAGGACTTGGGGAACGGGCTCGATTATTTCGGCTACTGTTACATTGTCAGGTGTTTTCACCCGAATAAATGCTTGACGTAGCTACCTCATTTTGCGTAATTATTGCTGAAACCCGAGCTCATCCATAACAACTTTACAAGAGGACCATATAAATAAAAGTGTTAAAAGTGACAGTGTATGTAGAGAAATAATTCAAGAGTATGAGTTTTGGCTTTTGATATTGTTGCTACACCATAGTTAATGAATTGTTTGCTTTTTCCTTTAAAAGGCAAACAGCTCAGACTGTGTGAACTTCGGGATTCACTGTACAGAATCCTTTATAATAATGGCGGTCCTATTTGCAAGAGAGCTGTAAAAGGGTAGTTTCTTTGTTTTGGATTAATGTATCATTCCAAAGTTGCACAAATCATGCAGAATACTAGCTTCCTTTTCCTAGCCTTTTAAGAGCACAGAAATTCAACAGAAAGTCCTTAGTATGAAAAACCAAGCAAGTGAACAAAATATAAATTTAGTGGTTATCTCAAGACACAGACTGCTTAGGAGTGAAGATAACTGTACTCAAAGTGGAACTGTATAATGACCTACTGACATTTGAAGTTTTGACCAATTTGGGATTATTATGACCTTTACTTGGCATGCCAAGTTTTTTGCTAATCTGTTTCTCAGAAGTGTTTATTTATCATAAATATCTCAAATCAATAAATGATAGTTACCGTATGCATTAAGTTACTCACCTTCACAAACCAAGAATGATAAAGCCTGTCCCAGAGCTCTAGCACTTGTTTTTCAATCACAGCAGTGTTGTTCACTTTTTCTCCTAAAATCTTATGGAGCTACAATACATAGAAATCTTTTATTACACAGTATTCAAAGATGAACTCAAAGCCTGATGATTCACATAAGAATGTCCTTAAAGACTTAGCTTAAAATGGAATTAAGAACAAGCCCATGTATTAACAGGCAACAGATACTTCAGATCTTTTGGTTCACAACTTACAGATTTTACTTTCTATAATCTACAATATATGGTCCACAGAAGAATAGAAAACTGGTAGAAGGAAAAAAACGTAACAACTAAACCACATGAACAACTAAAACCATATGAAATAATAAAAAAACACTCCTCTATTTGCTCTCTTTTTCCACTACCTGTCTCATTAAAATAACAGATTTTTTAGATCTTAAAAATAAGCAGAAAGACTATTAAAATCATTCCCAAATCTTCCCTTTCTTCACACATGGACTAGAGACTAGAAAGAATAGATCTGTTGGCACAACATTTAACCACACAAAAACCAGAGATACATCTCATTATAACAAAATAGAGAAACTAAACTACTAAAACAAACAAGTTTTATTTTTCACTCTTACCTTATGTGTAATCCATTCTCGGCCATATTGATATACATTATTAGCAGCTGAATTGAGGGCCTTCTGAATAACCTGGGCTTCCGGGAGCCAGCTGTTTTTGTTTTTTAAAGACGGAAAACAAAGTTATCTGCTACCTATTTTAACTTTTTCATTATGCCTAAAACACATTGCAAATTAACATTTTGAAACAACCCACATGGTTATGGTTCAGTGCATATAAGCATACAATAACTAGAATATCTCCTTCTGCTTGTCAAAGGGCAGACTTTTCAAACAAAGTACAATTGAATCTAGGACACGTCATTACATTAACAATGCACTTCACTAAGGCTTCTGAAACCTTAAATTGTTATCTTAAACTCAACTTTTTTCCATAAAGAGATCTTGGCCCTCTATCTGTATAGATGTGTTATCTATCACATCTCTCTGTATAGATGTGTTACTCACATTAGAGTCTTCTCAAATCTTTTCTTGCTGCCTAGTTTTTTTGGAAAATACAAAGCACTCTTGATTCAGTGAGACATGCTGCAATGATGCAGCCCTTCGTAAATGAGAAATTACCTGGGAGCCAAAACTGCTGCCATCATTCATCTGATGGAACAACAAAAGGTAAGCTTTTCTGTCATATAACTCTGTACGTGTTTTACACCATAATTCCAACATCTTGGTGGATTTGACAAGTGACTGAAAGCTTTGGCTTATGCTATGTTTGGAGTCAAGAGGGATACTCTCCTTTAGAAGTAAGTAGTTTGGATACTTCATGTTTGAAGGCAAACACTTAGGTAAACACTTAGGTTCTGCTAATTCGAAGGCAAATGCTTTAGCTAACATTCTGCTCGTTATTTGAGCAGTTCTCCAATACTTTTGTTGTGTGCATAAACTCCTCTAAGAGTGAAACTTCAATTTTCATTAGTATTTAGTTCCATCTGACAGCAAAATAGAAAGGCTGAACCACAGAAGAGATGCCATAAAGCATTAAACAAATACAATCAATAGAAGAGAAAACATTTAATGTGATTACTTAAGTATTGTTAAAGCACATCTTGTTCTGGCAGTTAACTGTATTATTTTAGGCCTATTTTTGAAAATCTCCCCTGCTCTTATATTAGGACATGCACTTTCACGCAATTTTATTAAACCATCATTACTTTTGTTTAAAAAGTACCCTTGACAATTCTTCTCCAAGAGATGGTATGTTTTTCCAGGCAAGTGCATGCACCCCACCTTCACTCACTGCCTACTTAGCTGAAACAGAAGAAAAGCCAACCTGAACACCCCTCCTCCCAAAGCGCACCCTCCAGTCTCATGTCTTCCCCCCTGCTATTCACGTGGGCAGTCCTTTGCCCACCAGGACGCCCTCAGAAATTCAACACGTTCCTTTATTTCTCTCATCCCTTAATGCCTTGCTGTTTGCTTTCATCTGTCACACATGCTCATCTACAAACTTCTCACTGCCTACATGATCCATGAACAGCCTTTCCCAAATGATTCGCACAAAACGACCCATCCCACCATTCTTTCCACCTTCAACTCTTTTTCAGACCCCTTCAAAAGGGTTTTCTTCGACTACTGCTGTTCCCTCCAAGACCTTCAAAAGGGTTTTCTTCGACTACTGATGTTTGCAGTCTGCAGGCAGCTCTCTACATTTTAACAGTCCTTGGATGAAACACACGACACATCCCTAGAGCAACGCAAACACACTGCTGCTGCCTCAGAGTTCAGCTTTTACACCTGCCTCTAACAGTCAACCTCATTTTTGTTCACGTGTAACACTTTTTAAATTGAAAACTATGCACAAGAGCACCAGGAAGCCTGTTTGTTCACTCTGTAACATTCATTTAACTTCAGCATTCTTACTTTGCCCATTCTGGGTGACTGGCTACCGTCTCATTGATCAAGCTGCTAGTGACTTGAATCATGTGAACACTCTCTTGATGTACCTAGATTGAACAGAGAGGAGAAACGTTATGTAATGCCAACTAGAACATCTCCTACATTCAGAAAGAGCTCCATTTTGGGGTGGGGGGCCAGCTGCAAGACCGTAAGGAATAACTCTTAAACACAGATAACCCCCTATGACAAATGAGGCACCACTAGCTTGGAAAAGCAGTCAATAAAACCATCAGCCTCCTGGCAGTTTCGGTCATGCACCATGTCACAAGCAATAATAAATGGTAATTTATAGCTTATCTGTGGAAAAGATTTGAACAATACAGCTGTGCTGTCAGAACAAGTGCTAAAATTTTAAGTTTCAAATATATTTTGAGCCACAGATGAAACAAACATGAATATTAATGATTGCTCAGCTCTAACATGATCAATTGTGCTACAAAATGCCTTACCAAACCAATTCCTCAATGAGAGAGATAAAAGGCCATTGATAAATATCTTAATATTCCCTTGGTAGATACAGGGAAGCTTTAGGTAGGAATGTTTATACGTCTCATACGGTTTCATTTTTTAAAACCCAACATTCTTTAAGCCTACAATTTGGACGAAGGAGACTGATATCAGAGCCCATCTGGTTTTTGTTCTGTAACTGCACTAGAGCAAAACATTCAGTTGCCACCAACTGTTGCAACTTGGAACACAGTTCTAAAATAATACATAAATAAAGCATGACAGGAGCGACCTCTTCTGGTGAGCAAGAAAAAACCCCAACCACAAAGCCACCAGTGCCAAAGACCAAGTCCAATCATGAATATCAGAATATTTAAACTTAAAACATGATACCCATGAGGTTATTAGGGGCAATTACACAAAACAGACATGTGCACCTTAAGCATTTCGCATATATATGTTGCTGATGCAAGTTAAATTAAAAAGAAAAAAAGTAGTTTTATCATTGAAAATAAATAGGACACATTACAAATCTATTATTACAACATATACATTCACTATACTACTAGAATAAATTTATTCTCTATTTCCAAATGTCTATATATTTGTTTTGTCATATACATATTTATACACACACAGATAAACATGAAGAATGAGAATAAGCACTTGGGGTAACAAGTTCAACTGCAGAGCATTCACTTGCTACACACTTCAAGATACTCCTTAAATCACACCATTTTACACAAATGTCAGTAACTTTCATTCAACTTTTAAAGTGAGTTCTATAATTACATTTCTTAGAACACTGTACCTTTGCAGTAAGCAGCAGGGCTAGCAGAAGGGTTCCTATGACTAGCAAAAATATTATGAAAATGCTAATTATTTTATCTAGCATTTTCTCCAACCATATGAGCATCTGTGCAGAGAAAAGAAAAAAAGAAGTCATGGCATATAAATTAACCTTTAACTAAAGCAATACTATATGCTATTTGACAGTACTATTATCTTTATTTACAACTCGACTGCAAAACACAGACTCTAATTAAACAGCATTTATGCCCAAGCTTCGAGATGAACAATTAACAGGCGATGTTAGCAGGATGAAGGTCATGGTATGACGTGATTTTGCAAACAACATTTACACATTACCACAAGACATGGCAAGCTCTCTGCAAAGCAAGCAATAATTCAGCTTTTACTGAAGAGATCTGAAAAAGCTGGCACTTATCTTAAGCACAAACCCAGATTTTTTGTCATTGACTCTTTTCCTTAAGCAGCTTTAAAAGTTACAAATACTACCTGCACCGAACTGCAAAATCATCCAGGTGCACTGTGAATTATAGCCACAACCTTCAAATTTGAGAAGCCAGCAGCCATCTAAATCATTAACGATGCATTTTTGCAGGTAACAAGTTTTAAAGCTGCTCATCCCCTTCCAACTTGAAGGAGCCTGTTTTCTACACTACGAAACATCAGGTCACTTGCTCAGCACTGAATATTTCCATCTACTTTGACCCATGAGAAGCTTCCCACTATTACATGTGAATGAGCTAAAGCTACTGATGCAAGAAGCAAGCACACAGGCTGTTCTGTTGTCTGTGGAAGGGTCTGCTCTCTACATGTCCACAAACTTCAGTGGACTTCACTGAAGATCAGAGAAGTGAGGCTGATGCTATGGAAAACATTAAACCTGCTTGGCCACGTGACTGTGCAGAGAGCTCTCCAGCACAGAACAAGCTGAGCTTCATCTCGTACACAAATTGTCTGTTTACACAGAGAACTGTGAAAGCCCATGCAAGTACAAGCAAAAGTATTTTTCTAGCAGCTATGGTTTGAAAACCAAAGCTATTTTTATTTCAGTTAGCATTACTGAAGAAAAAAAAACAACAGCAGTAATAAAAATGTAAAAATATAAAGGACAGCTAAGGTCAAAGTAAAGGAGAATAATTTTTTTCCAGATAAACACAGGTTATATATTGATATTTAGGGATTAGGTTAATCACTTTCTAGTTAGAGCTCTTAGAAAACTACTACAGCAATTGCTGGTGCTATACATTAGTTCTTATTTGCCCTATGTCTAGGTGCAAAACTAGCCACGGAAACAACACTAGGACTCCTGTGCGATGATCAAATTGCTTAAAGCTGAGTAGCATCTCTTATTGAAACAAATGCTAAGGGGGTTTTGTTTGTTTGTTTGTTTTGGGGTTTTTTTTTTGTACTTATCCCCGTATCACCTGAGCTTTTAATGCATACTACCATCCCCTCTCCTCTCAATTTGGAATTCTTTTACACCCAATTCCTTGTTTAAACTATCACTAGGATGATACTCTGTGTTTTAGAACCATTGTTCACAACGGTGAAGAAAACCAGAAAGGAAAAAAATAAAAATAATAAAAAAAAGAAAAATCCTTTTAAAAGAAGCAATGATGAGCCTGCAACTTTCTGTAACAAAATCTGCACTATATTGTGACCTGTTAAAAAGAATTTCAGTGAACCTGCAAAACATCATTATCTCAGACATTATTAACATTTTTCACTATTGCTGAAATCTTTCAGCTCCAACTACTCTGTACTTAGGGTTGTTGCCTTCTAAGGAACAAGACTGAAAACAGAATTTGCTGTGCCCTTCCAAATTTCACTTTTATCCAAGGATTAAGCAAGAGAAATAAGAAATATAAGACTCTGTTTAAGAGGCCAAAAAAAAAAAAAAAGTCAAGTCACTAAAAACTGAAAGACAGGAGAGGTAAATTTATGGCATGTGTTTCAAGACAAAGCTATTGAAAAAAAAAATTTAAGCAAGAGAAATAAGAAATATAAGACTGTTTAAGAGGCCACAAAAAAAGAGTCAAGTCACTAAAACCTGAAAGACAGGGGAGGGAAATTTATGGTATGTTTCAAAACAAAGCTATTGAAAAAAATTTTTTTTTTTTTAAAAAAAGCTGCCCTGATCACTTCTTAGTTAAGAAAAGCTGTACCTTATAGTTTGAGGTTCAGAGAAAGCTCTAGAGTATCAGAGAAAATCCAAACCTACTCCTATTTCCTCCAGTGGAGCTGAAAAAACTCGCTATTATTAAGTCTTAAATATAGCTCCTGGAACAGCATCACTGAACCCAAGAAATTGCAAGTACTATCAGAGAGATCTCCCAAACGCCACTCTCTCTAAGGGTGTGAGGGGTCTCCCAGGGACGGAGTCTCAGTGCAGTGGAAGGGGGCTGCTCGGGGGTTCCACACTTGTAGCAGTTACTGGAGGATGATCAAGATCCAAAAGGTCAGGAATGAGGACTCTGAACTGGTAGGAGGATCACTGAACTGGAGTACGACCAGCAGGGATCTTTTGGGTGCTCTTTGCTGTGGGTCAAAGCATGACAACAGTGCCGCTGAAGCAGGGCTGGGGCACCAGAAAAGCCCATATTACCTTTAATACAGAACCAGCAGCAGTGACGTTGCACAAGTGCAGGCAGCAGCCTCAGCCATGCAAGGCCACTTGCTGCTTATTCAGTTGGGCAGCTAGTAACAGAGTAAACCAGGGCCGAAGCCAACTCTGGCAGGCAGGCCTCCAGGCAGCGAGTGTATCCGCGCCCTCCCTCACCCCAAACCCAGGTTACACTGCTCATACGGACAAACCCGAGGAAAGGGCTCACCTGCACTGCACATTGCAGAAGTAAAAGCAGAAGCACAGCATTCATTTACAACTACATTTATTCCCTCTCTTCCCATTTGTTTGCTATTAAGCCCCTGCTCCTTCCTCTATGCCTGCCTGCACTACATCAGGCCAGCGCTCACTTTGGGACACTCAGGCTAAGCAAGCAGAGGTGCTAAGTCCCTGCACATAAGCCAGAGTTCAACCCCTGCGGGCTCGTACTTACCACTGACTCAGGTCCAGACTTGTTACCCCAGCCCTGCCAGACCCTGCTCGTGAACCCTGGGCATGCACACAAAGGCAAAGAGACGCTGACTAAACACTGCGCATCAGGCAGAGATTGTCGAGTTGTAAACTCGGATCCAAGCTTCTAAACTAATCGTTAGTCAACATCAAGAAGCTGACGCTGCCACAACATCCAAAACAATGTGATGGTAAAGGCAAGCCACGCTCCTAAGCTACAGAAGGTCACACTCGTAAAACCAAATTGAAATGTTGCTGAGTAGGGATAAGACGGTCCAGAGGGGAAAAAAAAGGAAAAAAAAAATCCTTGATTATCATAGTTTTGAAAAGGATATCAAATAGTTGTTTTTTTTTTTTTTTAATTTAGCTCAGGGTGGAAAATGTTTTTCAACTGAACTGAACTCTGTGCTTCTCTCAGTAGCTTCCAGCATTCAACCTACAATGTCAGTATCAACATCTGTATTACCACGAACTGTAATAAAAACCACAGCTCACACTTAACTATTGAGAAATATCCTGTCTAGAGATTCATCAAGTTATATAGTACCACACACTATTTATGAAAGCCTATTTTAACATCCTTACCCTGCATAGCTTAAGCATACTCTATATACTGCATTAATCCTAAAGCACACCACCATACCCATTTCATTCCTAATTGGGCATGAAACTACCAAAGATTATCTTTAATTTTCAGTATTTAATTTTTCCATTTCTTTTTATGTATTAGATTTGTTAATGTTTTTCCTTTAGCTAATATTTGAGGATATCATCTTATGAACGTCATCTGACAAGAATAAGGAGAAGCCTGCAACCAAGACACATCTCAGGGTTACACTGAAATGAGTCAGTTAAGCAACCAAGCTGGAAAAAAGGCAGGAGTGTCTAACAGAGCTCAGAGGCCCCTTGCAGTACCTTGCGCTGGCAACAGCATTTAGAAATTATTTCTAAGGACTCCTGCCACGGACAATGTCATAAAAAACAAATCACACCAGCCCAAGTGAACCTATTCTAAGCTTTGGTCTACAGAAGCCAGGTTAAGCAGGTGATTTCTATACTCTTTCTTTTAAAGCAAGCAAGAGTAATGCAGCTTTTGATTAAAGCTCTGAAAAACAAGAGGATAAAAGGTAAGGTCTCACACTAGCAGCCACAAATAACCAACACTCCAAACTCGGCCATGCCTAGCTGTTGTATTTCCAGGTTCTCAGTTCATCATCCCAAATTTATGCTAGTTTTCTCACAAGTTCTCTTTTGCCTTTTTGAAGGCATGCAAGTACCAAACAGCAGCAAACTTCTAACTATAACTTGTGCTCTGAGGGACAATCCTCACGTTTCAACGTACCTCTTAAGGTAGAATTCATATATATATACACACACATATATTTATACATATACACACATATATACATACACACCTCCTCCCCTCAAGGACCTGATCTAGTTTACAGAGTAATTTTTTGCTTCAGATTTTGATCTTGATAATGTTATTGCTACTTGTTCATCACGCACAGTTTGTCTGCACTGTATGCAACATTTCATAGTCTTTTGGGATCTCTTTCTGTGCAGCTAAGTAATATATGGACTTTTAAGAAGTTATACCTACAGATTTAGGCCAAATAATGTAAAGTTCCAAGCTAAAAATAAAGCAGTCAGATTTCAAAGGGATTAAGGGGCAGTTATTTTTATAATGCATCAATATTAAGGAAAATGAGACCCACCATAATGAACTCACAAACACGCAAACAACAAATTCAGAAACAAGGGGAAAAAAGAATGTAGCTGAGACTGAGCCCACACATGACTCTCAGAACACTGCACCTCACTTAAGCTGCCCTAACAGACATGCAACACGTTTATGAAGAGTTGGGGTTGTGCACATTAATAGTTTTTGCTCGTGTATCATTGCACAAACATTTCAAAGCCCAGAAGTCAAAATTAAACTTAAAACAACCAAATTACATTCAAGGGCAAGAGAACTATAAAAACTTGCCCTCTTACTGAACAACCATTACTCTGAAATAAAAAAAAAAAGCAACTCTACTCTCTTGTTCATAAAGAGCATTCCCCCTACATACTGTGAGCTCTCAGATCAAACAGTGAAGATCAAACTCTCAAAAATAATTTCAACTATTCAGCCTACTCACCACTTGGAACATTATTCTTCACCCCTCATCCAGAGCAGACCCCACCTACACACCCTAATTAAACCACTTCAAAGAACCTTTTAGAGAGCCAGTGTTCTCCACTGCCTGAATGAAGCCAACAGAAATTAGCACCCGAGAAGGAAAGGGGAGGTCCTGCAGAAGTGATCGTGTTCTACAGGCATCATCCTTCTCCAGTTCTGGGCTTCTCTGCAACTGCTCCTGACCAACACACATCTTACTGTCTCGCTGCACTTGAAGAGCTGTTCAGAGAGATTTCAGTCCCCCGTGTGGCCAAACATGGGCTGCTCCCAAAAGTAACAATTTCCTTAGCACCAATGGACTTAGATGAACCACGTTGATCAAGTTGAGTAAGCCCCATGTACATGGTATGTATTTAAAAACCACAAAACAGAAAAAATGCTTTAAATATGCCTGCTTTATAATACATGCTTTATTATTATTATTAACTAGTCCTCAATTTCCTTATTTCCCTTTCCCTGTCTTTACATTGCGCATTTCTGTCACTATGGGCATTCTTGTTTCCCTCACGCTATACTGAACGCTTAAGAGTTAGTTTGGCACTACCAAGGCTAAAAGATTAATTGCAGTGACTAAAGCACTGCAGGCACTGAGGCTCCCAGCTTTACAATTGCACTGCAGGTCCTGATCCTCACCTCTTCCCTGGTAATTTAAGGAATAGAGCGTTTCCCTGAGCAGGGAACAGCTCTCTAGTCAGACAGAAGACCAGCTTGGTGTTAGGCATGCAAGTAGGGAACAGGTAAAAGATCAACCTATCTCAAATATACTACTTCAGCTACTAAATCTAACACTTGAAAGACTAATGCAGTATTCTGTACAGAACATTTAATTTTGCACTTATTTTAGTAAAAGACAACAGTTCGGGTGAAGTTATATGACCTTCAGTAGCTTATATCAAGAGCTAGCAAAGAGACACTTGGGAGAGAAAGCTAAGAAGCAAGGCAGTTAAGGAGTGCCCATGCTGCAAAAAATCCCCGCAGAATCCATTAGTTGGAACCACAATTTGTCCATTTATTTACCTTCTTATTAAGCCAGTGCCACAGCTTGTCAGTGGCAGGGGAAGATGGAAGAAGAGGGGAAGAGACAAGAACACAGTGGAAAATTATTAAAGAATGCAGTAATAGAAGGGAAAAAAATGCAATGAAACACAGGTAAAGTCATCCACAGAGTGAAAATGAAATTGTTCCAGACTCAAAAATAAATTACAATAGCAAGATTACATCAACTTCTAACGCAAAAATCTAGATTTCTCTATTAACTCACACTTTTTGAAACAAAGGGAAATAATAGATAAGAACTTTGATATTATTAACAGAGATACCAGCGTGGCTCAGACAATTTTGGTTTAATTATACTGAGATAGTATTTCACATTTCATAGCAGTATTTGTAAGAGTACTTTGAGAAGGGCACATTACTGAAATACCCAGAGTCAATATGAGATACTTGTTTATTGCTGGCATTCAGGCAGCTTCACTTACATTTCTAACGCCCTTATTACATTACTTTTAAACAAATCATGTTTTTGGTGTCCTATTCACATTCAATGACATATTATGAGAAGAGATTCCAAATATATAATTAAGCATGATATATATGCACCAGCTGATTGCAAATAAAAGAATTGTTATGCATAGGTTTCTGTCAGCTGTCCAGATGGTTCTGTGCATTTCTCAATGGAAAATTATTTCCTGTTATAGTACAATTATTTTCTTTACTCCAAGCTACTCAACTACAGCCATTTGAAAGCCAATTTTTTGTATGGTTATACTCTAATTTCAGCCTGCTCAGTTAGCAGCGTGACTACAACACTGAAAATAACAGTTATTAATAATTTTTGTTTAAAATAACAGTTATTAATATTTTTTTGTTTTAGAGGTTAAGATCAATTAACTGAAGTTTGTTCCCCCTTAAGCTAAGGTAAGGATCATTAAACTCTTAATTATGTCTAAGGTTTTCACCAACGACTACAACTCATATTGGCTCCTACTGAACAAAACCCAAGAACTTGACAAAGTAACAAAAACAAAAAGGTCAGTATCAGAAGCAAGAAGCAGGTTTACACAGAAACATGAACATCAGGAAGTTGAAAATGAAACGCATCTCACATACAGTTTTTCTATATGCTTGTGTGGCCACAGAAAAAACAGTAGTGGAAAGCAATGGCAAAGCTTCAAAAGCCACAAGTGACACTGTGTATTTGTTTCTATTTTTTACATCTTCTCCTAAAAATAATTTAAGAGTAAAAAAAAAAAGTCGCTTACACACTCAACATATCTTTGCCTTTCATCTGATTTTTTTGCATAAATTAGTATTAAAATCTACATTATGTTTATTTTGCAAAATAAAGTAGATCTCATGCCTATTTCTCCACTCAGTAGCTACAACAACAGAAGTTAAAGCTGCAATTCTAACCTGGGCTACCACTACGGCTGTGAAAGGAAATTATTTTGGTGTTATGTAATTTCAGCATCTTGGAATTAAGTGAGGGAAAACAGCACTATAGCACTATAGGAAATAGCACTACATATCAAAAACTAAAATCAAGGTGATTAAGATGATTCTATAAATACAATCAATCTATGTTTAAAAATAGGCTATGGCTTAATTCAAATGTTTAGGTCACAGCCACTTTTCCAGTATGTTGGAAGTTGCACTGTATTTGGAAAACTACTTATACAAGATTTTACATGTCTATGGCAGTATTCCCTAGGATAACAAATGCACCAGTTCAGATTCTGCTTGTTTTCCATGAATTCTTTAATTATACACTAATCTTGGCACCAGAAGGACCAAACCTAAATTTTACCCAGTTCTCCATATGTAAAAGTCTAGTATGCTGTATTCAGAAGGAAGATAAATATGTAATTCGCTCAAGTCTACCATCTAGCTTGGGATAACAAGCACAAATCTAACTAATTAAAAACTAGTGCCTGGACTCATACGGCTGGTTATGCTCTTGACCTACTGGGCAAACTCTAATTAGACTAAGCTCCCTTTGTTATAAGACAACAAAAACTTGTCAAAAAGGAGGAGTAAAACAAGTTATTAGTTTTGGAGTGCTGGTAAGAATATGCACAATACTAGGTTTTACGCTGACTACTTGGGTGGAAGGAGGAACCCTTTCCCAGCATCTTCATTCAAGAAGTCTCCCCTTCCTGAATTGCTCTGCTTGTAAGCTCCAAGGGCCAACAGCGCAGTCAGGCATGGGTGAATATGATGACAGTCCTGTATTTACAGTCCATATTTAAACCAGGCCTGCACATAAGGGCCAGCCTGAACCATTGTTTTAAGAAAGTACATGCTGCTTTTCACTCCTCTTGACCAGAATCCCTCTTTAGTTGGTATTTGTTCTCATTACCAAGGAGACAACCAGAAGCTGATGACTATGAGAAAGATGAATAGAAGTTTTTTTTACTGCTTTTATAGAAGAGACATGTTCTGTAAATCTCAAACACCTGCATGCAAGTACATGTTTCATAGCTTCAAGTTTATAGTTTCATAGTTTAAGTCCACAGTTCCTGACCATCTACACTAGCATGCTTTTAAAAACAACAACAAAAACCCAACCACCACTATTGCAATATGTTTCCCTCCTCCCACACCGCTCTCGGGAGAGAAAAACCTCTCAACACAAGTATCCCCCTAACCTTGGACCCTGGGCTAAGGTGACTCCTCGCGTGACTGAAAGTCCCCTGTGCTTTCAGGGTGTAGAGCTGCCAGCTCTCAACTCCTTGCAAGGCTGAGCAGCCCCTGTATACTCAGGGTGAAGTAATACTATAGCAATTTTAAAATTTTATTTCATTTCTGTTTCTTTTTCTGGGACAAGCAGTGTGCTCCATTTAGTTGTGCTAACTGCTCCTTCCTGTTCCCCAGCTGATCAGCCGATTCCTGTAACAATCGCACCAGCTAATGGTGGATGTCGTTACGGCAAAGATCTCGCGCTGGGGAATAGCATCAAATAACTAAAGCTCAGGTCTTGCTGCCCCTCTGGATTATTTTGCTGTCTCCTTTAAAAACAGATAGTGACACTGACTTCAAATACCCTAAAGCTCACTGGTGCACAAAAGCACAAAACTTCAACTTCTTCAATGAAAAAGGACTCAGTAGGCTTGGGAAGGATACTATGTAAAGATACTACACTTGGCAACTTAAACTCTTACAATATCATGTCTAAAGATTCCTCTTACTCCCTATATAAATCCTGTTAACAAAAAGCTTTTATCTGCTGTAAGCTCCTCTTACATGTTAGCCTTCTCCACTATCTTTAGATGACCCCTTCAAATTATTCATAACTATACATTGAGAAGTTTTCCTTTTTCAAATTCCTCTACAAGGAATTGTGCAAAACTGTCACTTATTTCCTATAACATTTTAATGCTTTTTTTTTTTTTTTTTTTTTTTTTTGGTCCCCCCCCCCCCCTTTTTTGGGACATTTATTTACTCTTCATAGGATCTGTTCTTCAGGTCTTCCTTCTCCTGGAAGTCAGAAGTGTAACTTGCACACAGATTTAACCAAGTGCTAATGCTCTAACAAATATAGGGTTCAAGCTCAAAGTTATGGGAACTCCAGGCTAACAGTTTTTTTGCTAAGTAAAGAATACTCCGACAGCACAATTACAATATATTTTTGTACACTGACAAAACTATTATAAATAAAATAATCTATCAGGTTAAGTGAAAATTAACAGGAGTTTGCAACTGTTTATAATGCATGGGTAGAATGCAAGTAGTGGGAACAGGGGAAGAGCAAACAAGGCCTTTTTCTGTATCAGATCTTCCCAAATATCTTACCTCACACTTCTTTTTAAACAGAGAAGCCAGAAGATACCTTCTGTACCACTAAGCCACCGTGTTCAACAACTATTTCCATACAGTCTAAACAAATACGGTTGAACTAGCTCAAGCCCGACTTGCAGAATGAAACCGATTGCTTTTTATTAAGTTTACACAATGGAAGTAGGAACATTTCACCCTTCATATTCCAGACAATTAGGTTTAACTCCCGTATCTTTGTAATCAGATAAGGTAGTTGAACTATACAAAGTTTCCCATAACCAGATAAGCAATCTTCTGAAGCCAACCTAACTTTAAAAAAGTGACTTGTCAAGCTTTGCACATAATTATGTAACAGTTTAAATGTTTACTTCAGTGTGAATACGGACAAAAGAGAGATGGTGTAAAAATACACCGTAAGACAGATACTTTTACATGAGGGACATGTCCATTAGTGACAGACACTTATTTTAGAGTAAAAGCATTTCAAAACACAGCTAACAAAAAATTAACTTTCGCATTGGTAAAGAAAATAATTAGGAATACCTTACTGTCAAGTTTTAGCATAACTCTCCCGAGTCCTCTAATAGGCCGTGGTGCAAGAGCTTCCTGACGCTCCATCACAAACTTTTCCACAAGTTGCCACCAACTACTGCAACGGTTTGCCATGAAGTTCAAAACTCCAAAATGGACCACAAGTTTCTTAAGTGCCCAAACTATAAAAAAAAGAAAGAAAGAAAGAAAGAATGTACTGGAGATTTCAGCATAGTATAACAGCACACTGGTCTGAAAGACCTATTAAAAATATATATATATTTTGCATCAAAATCATTTTCAAATTTTGAAAGTAGTTTTAGTACTAACCTCCTCATTCACTTTACAAACACGGTTACCAACTAGAAATTTAAAATGCACCAGAAGTGTCTGCATATTGCATGACTATATAACTGCCTGACTTCAGCAAGGCTCCTGTGGGTGTTATCACATGCTTGCCCATAATTTGCCACAAGACTACACACAGATACAGAACTTACAAGTATCTCGAACATAAAACAAACTTTTCTGGCCTAACTCTTAAGTGTTAGGTCTTCCATATCCTAAAAGCTATATCTTTCCTTTAAGGACTGACAGCAGATCATGCATGTGACATTTGCATTAGAGAGGTAAGTACACACAATTAAAGTTCAACTACTGATGTAAGTGTCTAAAAAATATATATATATATATATATATATTGACACCAGTTTTATCTTAGCTTGTACATGACCATGGAAAGCACCAGAAAAAAAGAGTCTCCTTCTCTGGAGATCTTCCAAACCCGCTTGGACTGACTCAGTTCATATAAACAATTGATTTACAAACCTCTAAACCAAACAGCTTCTCATTCCCAGATACTGAAACATATTACTCGAAATGAAATGAAAATGAAGTAATTAGCAAGAGAATCATACTTGGATCATTTCTTCCATCAGTTTTTTTTTTTTTTTTTTTTTTTTAAAAACGAGAGTACAGAAAAATTACCCCATGAGGTTCAATCG